AAGGATTTTAATAAGATGATGTACAATAAGACTAAACACCAACACCGTAAACATTTTTGTATGTTTTGTCTCCAGTGTTTTAGCACTGATGAGATACTAGCAAAACATAAGAGCAATTGCATGATAATAAATGGGGAACAGGCAATAAGGATGCCCAAGGAGGGCAGTACGGTCCAATTTCAGAACTATCATAAGCAGATGCCAGCACCTTTTGTAATTTATGCAGATTTCGAGGCAATTACAGAGAAAGTACCTGGATGTCAACCAGATGGTGTTAAATCTTATACTGATAAGTATCAAAAGAACACTGGCTGTAGTTATGGTTATAAAGTAGTCTGTTGTTATGATGACAAATATTCAAAACCAGTGAAAATTTATCGAGGGGAGAAATTTATTAGCTACTTCATATTGGATATGCTCTCGGAAGAAGAATATTGCCAAAAAATGATTGCTACTGAGTTCCAAAAACCACTCCAGATGACGGACGAGCAGGAAGAATTATTCAAGGTTGCCGAGGAATGTCATATTTGCGGGAAGAAATATTTAGATAATGAAGTAAGAGTCAGAGATCATTGTCACATCGCTGGTCAGTATAGGGGATCAGCACACCAGGACAGTAATTTGAAGCTAAAGCTTGACCCAAGTAAATTTAAGGTGCCAGTCATTTTTCATAATCTGCGTGGGTATAATTCCCATTTTATAATGGAAGAAATTGGATCAATCGGAAAAAGTAATAATTTGAGCATTAATTGTTTTCCGAATAATATGGACAAGCATATGGCTTTTATGCTGGGTAAACACTTAGTGTTTTTGGATAGTTTTCAGTTTGTGGCCAGCAGTTTGGAGAGATTAGCCGCTAATTTACCTACCGATGCGTTTAAGTATAAGTAAACAGAAAGGAGTGTATCCTTATGATTACATGGACAGTTTTCAGAAGTTTGGTGACCAGCAACTACCCCCAAAAGAGCAATTTTATAGTATTCTTACAGATGAGTAAGAAAAAATGAACCGATCACGATGACAAATATGCTTACATTCATATAACTCGCTAAGGTTTCAATACCATTTTGTAATTCATTTTAATAATTCACGAAATTCTAAAACAACAGCAGTGCTGATAGGCTGTTTCTCAGGTCAGGTAGATGTACAGCACATGCCGTTCACTTATGTAACTTACAATCCTGATTACCGAGATAACAATCTGTGTGACAAAAGAATACTCGCTATAACTAATCTTGAAACCTGAATAAAAAAATAAACCCGAAAAAATGTTTCGTACAATACGTCTTGAACTGTTCTTACCGTTTAGGCCGTTTAAAAAGACAGCAAGCATCCGATAAACTACATTTCTGCACATATCTTACATGAGAGCAAAACAAAATGGCGGGTTGCTCCTAAGAGAAAAACAGGCGCGGCAGCTAAGCAAACCGCTGACTGCACAGCGCTGCAGTCACAGATGACCATCCAACCATCCAACCATCCAACCATCCAACCATCCAACCAAAAATCTGCCCGGCAGCAACAAGACCCTGGCATCAAC